TGGACTTAGCTTGTTAGAAGACAGCAAAAGGGGATCACATGACCCCAGTGTCAACTCGTGAAGCATCCCTGACCTGCTCTCGAGTTGCCATAGGCAAGGGGGAATGGGGAAGCTGCATCAAGGAGCTTGCATCTCAGTCAAAACAAAGCACATTCCAACCGACATGTCAAGGTCATCTCTACGGAAACCCACAGTGGCCAGGGAGAGTGACTTCTATAACTGGCGAAATTGCTTCGTTGAGGAATGTGTCTGATGACACATCTTGGGGGGGAGGGGGAAACAGGGTCAGAGGCAAAGCAGGAATTAACTGAGGTTAGAGTTGGCTCCACTTGACCTGTGCTGGCTGACATGAAGCTCCTAATAAATAACTGATTTTGATGCTTGGCTTGAGGCTCATGATTTAATTAGGGCATCGGTCGGAATCCTGACACCTGGGATGGGGATGCTGTAATGGTGTGAAAAATAACAATAGCAATAGCACTTAATACTTACATATACCACTTTACAGTAATTTACAGAGTCAACCTATTGCACCCAGCAATTTGGGTCCTTATTTTAACCCACCTCGGAAGGATGGAAGGCTGAGTCAACCCTGAGCCTGGTGAGATTTGAACTGACAAATTGCAGTCAGTTGGCAGTCAGCAGAAGTAGCCAGCAGTATTGCATTTTAACCACTGCGCCACCATGGCTCATAACTCACCTTTTTCAGTGCATTGCAACTTCATATGTCACTAAACGAATGGTTGGAAGTCAAGGGCATTCACTTTGCTGTGGGTCATCCTCTTATCTTCCACCTTTCTCAGCATCAGAGGTTTCTCCAGAGAGATGAGGTTTTGCACGATGAGGCAATTTTTACAGCTAATTCGGTACCATCTGCACAGCTAATGGAGCTTTATGCAAGTTTTAGAGAACAGCCGACAATGCCAATTTTTACAGTAAGACTGCCCTCTGGTGTTCCTCACATTAACTGCCAAAAGCTTTTGCGATCCAAATCAAAATTTTTATTGTAGGTCATGGGTCAGAAAATGCAATAATAAATAATTACAACTCTAATGAGCAATAAAAGTTTTTTAAATGGATTTATTAAATTTATAGGCTGCCCATCTCGCTATGCAAGGCCACTCTGGGTGGCAATAAAATTGCAAATAAAGATGACATAAAAATACCTAAAATATACACGTTGCAATAAGATTACAGAAACTTCAATCAGAAAAGAGTTGGAAGGGATCTTGGAGGTCTTCTAGTCCAACCCCCCTGCTCAAGCAGGAGACCCTATACCATTTCAGACAAGTGACTGTCAAGTCTCTTCTTAAACACCTCGAATGATGAAGCGCCCACCATTTCTGGTGGCAAGCTGTTCCATTGGTTAATTGCCCCCATTGTTGGGAAGTTTCTCCTTAATTCCAGGTTGCTTCTTTCCTTGATTAGTTTCCATCCATTGTTTCTTGTCCTGCCTTCTGGTGCTTTGGAAAATAAGTTGACCCAGTCCTGTTTGTGGCAGCCTCTCAAATTAACAGAGGGATACAATCAAGATCAAGGGAGGTACTAATACCACTCTATAAAGCCTTAGTAAGACCACACCTAGAATACTGGGTCCTGTTTTGGTCACACTATAAAACAGTTGTTGAGACTCTAGAAAGAGTGCACAGAAGAACAACCAGGATGATTAGGGGACTGAAGGCTAAAACATACTATGGACTGTTAAAGGAACTGGGCTTGGCTAGTCTAGTGAAGAGAAGGACCAGGGGAGACATGATAGCGGTCTTCCAATATTTGAGGGGCTGCCACAGAGAGGAAGGGGTCAAGCTGTTTTCCAAAGCACCCAAAGGCCAGACAAGGAATAATGGATGGAAACTGAACAAGGAGAGATTTAACCTGGAAATAAAGAAAAACTTTCTGACAGTGAGAACAATCAACCAATTCTTTGGAAGTTGTGGGAGCTTCATCTTTGAAGGCTTTCAAGAAGAAATTGGACTGCCATTTGTCAGAAATGGTGTAGGGTCTGCTTGGGCAGGGGGTTGGACTAGATGACCTACAAGGTCCCTTTTGTTAATTTTTATCTGTATGTAAAATACAGGAGGTAAAATACATTATTGTAACAACTGTAATACAAATAGCAGTGGCAATTGCAAATCACAGATACAGATACAACAAGACAGATACAACAAATAACACCACAAATTCAAGCAACGTGAAAAGGTATTTCAGGATCCTGGACAGATAAAAGCAGTGACAGGTAAATATTGTGCCTTCTACTAGGGAAATTATGTGTTTTTTAAAATGGGATAAATATACAGATTCCTCCATTCCTTATAGAGGCAGCAACAAAGGGGCACATGGCTTGGGGACTTCACATAAACTCTGCTGAAAAGGAATGTTGTAAAACTACTTCCACAGAACTGCAGAAGGTAGAACATCTAGTCAAAGTTCAACCAAATTTCAGAATTAGAATTGAAGAGAGATAAGATGAGGGCACATGCTCATTGGAGAAGAATCCATTAACTGTAGAGTCAGATACCAGGCTTAAATTGACTTGAAAATCAATACCCCAGATAGGGATAAGTTGTTTTAAGATGAATCCTGGCATTTGGTAACGACTGGAGTTCGTGATTAGTTTTTGTTTGCCAAGTTGATTTAAAACACGCTCTGAAAATCCATGGAGCCAGACCCACGGGAGGAAAAAAAAAATCCATTTCAACCAGAAAGTAAAAAAAGATAGAGCCAGGCTTGTTTCCACCAACCCAACTTACTCTCTAACCGTAAAACAGCATTCTTGAGGCATCTTGAAACTGCGAGTATTGCTCTTATAAACTTCGGCTGGAAAACCACCGGGAATTGTAAAAATGCAAATTCCAACATTATAAAGGAGGTGAGAGATGACCTTAGCAAGCAAAATTTTGCAAGCTGCAGGAAGAAAATGTGCCTCCTTTGAATAGAAAAATCTTAAGACAGCTGTGGGGCCTGCTTGCCTGATTTAAAAAAATGTGCACTTCAAGATAAGGAAACCTGGAACTCACTTCAAGGTATTTTTAAGTACTTACTTGCTCTATTGGGATCTGTTTAATCTGCCATTTATGTGACCTACTGGCTTGTTGTGCAAACACTAGTCCCTTAGTTTTTTTTTAAAAAAAATAGCTTATTACAAGTTGTTCTTTTAGGCAAAAGGAAACCAATGTTCGAAATGTCCTTCACCACATTGTCTGCCTACAGCAAGGCTGGGTTTGCTGCCATTAAGCCATAATAGGAATTGCCCAAAGCCCCTTCATTACATCACCCAGTAAGATTCAACCAAGCTTGGGACTCAAGACAACCTACAAAGTTACCCCTGCATGGCCCTATATGGGAGTCTGACAACCAATCAGGATACATTTCTTGCCACACGGAACAGGAAGCAAGTTCAAAGCCCAAGAGAGGGTATCTCTCTCTCTCTCTCTCTCTGTCTCTGTCTCTCTCTCTCACCCATGCGCTCGATTTTGCCCAGGACCTCAAAACTACGTGGTCCTGTCCTCCATTAAACCATCTTTCCAAATAGCCTCCATGTTTCCAGTGTCTTTCTCCACTTGGAATTGAACCCAGATGGACGGTTCTTCCAACAACAAGGGGAGGGTTGCCTGTACTATATCGCCCTCTGGATACACACCTACACACTCAAGGCACTAATCTATCCAAGTTCATTTCAATGGAGGCTAATTGCTCGAACACTGAACACTAAGACGGTAGTTTAGCCAAGAGCAAACATTGTTTTTACCATGAATTCAATTGAGTTGTCCCGTGAAAACAGTTCCTCCCAGCCCTTACCCCCATGCGATTGCGTTCTTTATGTTCTGTAGAAGAATCTGGAGCTGGCAGAACAGACAGAAGAATGGAAAGGGAGGGCTGGCGTAAAATCAGAACAGCCTTTCAAATCTTCTCCAAGAGAAACAAAACGCTCCGATAATTGCTGCTTTTCTCCTTCTGTTTGCAAGCCTCTTTCAAGAGACTCAAAATGATTAGAGACGGGAAGTAGGATTAGTTTACTTAGTGTCTCAGTGTCTTAATTCATCCATTTTTAGCAGTTTGACTGTCTAACAAGACTGCTGAGCCACAACTGACTATACCCACTCAGAAGCCTTCCTTTTCTTTCTTTCTTTCTTTCTTTCTTTCTTTCTTTCTTTCTTTCTT